TTTTTTTTTCTTTTTAATAAGAGGATTGTCAGTGAAGACCCTTGGAAAGAAAAGGATTAACAGGATGGGTCTCCATACAGATGCTGGCTAGAAAGAAATAAAACAGAAACAGCTCATTGTGGAGTATGTAATAAAGAAATCAGAGTAGAACGTAGCAGTTTGTTCAGCTGGTGTGGACTGGCATACTGCTGGTGTCATCAGATGCTTCATTACCTAAGAAGACGCTAATTTCACGATTCAGAAAACCATGATTAAGTGCAGGCGAACTGCCTCTGGGCTGCTGAATCAGACAGAAGATGCCATGACTTGAGTTTTGTGTCAACGCCTGCTGTAGGTGAAATATGTGCAAGAGGCAAGACATGAGACTGGAAGTTTCGGGCTGTGTTGCCCACCTCTTCAATAATGTTATTTGTTTGACCTTCTATACACTTTGATTGGCAGTCAGAACTAGTGGACTCCAGGGTTTGTGCTTTAGAATATTCCTCGCAATAAACACAATTTAAAAGTTTTTGTTTTCATTGCTTGTGTTTATCGAAATATTAAAATTAAAAGATGCCACAAAATCATCTGCTGTTTTTCAGGACTATGAGGGAAGCAGCTCTATGCAGGAACAACACCAATGCCTTTTTGGTGTTTTGGCAGAAACGGGCATATGTTTTTCTCTTGTACTTTTTTTTTTTGAGAAGTCTCGTAAGTTACTGTTTTCCTGACATTTTAAAAACATGTATATGGTTTATATTAAGACAAAGGTGAAAGGCTTAGCAGAGTGAGGGAGGAGACACAGATCCATTATTTTAGGCAATTGTTTTGGTCTTCTTTCCAAACTGAAGCTTATAGGCTCCCCTCTCTTGAGTTGTGACTGAGGGAAGAGGAGCTGCTACTGTATGTGACAGATGGATTGACTGCTTTAGTGTGTTTCTTTTTTCTCCAGTATCCTTAAGTATAGTCAGTCTCCTTTCACACCAGTACTATTAACTGGAACATCATAGTTTATATCAGTGTAAAGCAAGTGCTTCTCTCCAGATGTTGATGGACTCCAGTCAGCTTAAGCCATCAGTCCAATAACATCTGGATGGCCACAGTTTGCTTCTTCTTGCAGTATACGATGTCACTGCCCACTGTCACTGCTGCTACCCAATACAGTGGTACCCCGCTAAATGATGACCTCGCTGTACGATGAATCCACAGAACGGTGACTTTTTTGCAATTGCTATAGCAATTGCAAAACGATGTTTCCTTTGGGGGATTTCCATTTGACAACGATTAGATCTGTGCTTCGCGAACTCTTTGTTCGCAAGACGACGATGTTTTCCGGCTCTGCAAAATGGCTGCCCTGTGTTTTCTGGACTCATGCTTCACAGGGCAGCCATTTTAACAGCTGATCGGTGCTTGGAAAATGGTTTCCCCTATGGGCGATCTTTGCTGGACGACAAGGTAATTTCCCCAATGGAACACATTAAATGGGTTTCAATGCATTCCAATGGGGAAACTGTTTTCGCTGGACAATGTTTTCGCTTAACAGCGATTTCAGTGGAATGGATCATCGTCATGGTGCGGGGCACCACTGTAATAGGTACCGACTGGGAGACATACTCATGAAGTGCATTCTCCTAATGGTTACTAAGAGGAGGTTGGTTACTAAATCTTGATCTGTGCCTCGAAAAAGCTGTAGTAAAGTATGTGGGGAATTTCAGCCAAACCTATGAGGGGGAGGCACAGTTGGCTGGCAAAGGAACCAAGAAGCAACAGCAATACATCTGCGCCTACACATGGAAGATCCTAGAACTGAATGGCTTTTGCCCTGATCTTATCTTAACCCATCCCCAGCATCTGGAAAGTTAGTTTTATAAAATAATAATTACCGTTACCCTGTGTTGAGGGACGTGGTGGCACTGCGGGCTAAACCGCAGAAGCCTGTGCTGCAGGGTCAGAAGACCAAGCAGTCGTAAGATCAAATCCACGCGACGGAGTGAGCACCCGTCGCTTGTCCCAGCTCCTGCCAACCTAGCGGTTCGAAAGCATGCAAATGCAAGTAGATAAATAGGGACCACCTCGGTGGGAAGGTAACAGTGTTCCGTGTCCAAGTCGCACTGGCCATGTGACCACGGAAGATTGTCTTCGGACAAAATGCTGGCTCTATGGCTTGGAAACGGGGATGAGCTAGAGTCAAACACGACTGGACAAAAATTGTCAAGGGGAACCTTTACCTAATTACCGTTACTCATTGCAGTTCTGAAAAATAACGTGTTCCTATTGTTTGTTTGGATTAAAAACCCTAGTGAATCATTTAGTTAAATGTTGTGGATGCTTGTTTTTCGTTTGGGGACAGGAATCCACCTAAAACAGTGAGATAATGATATGAAATGTATGTGTGTGTAGGAGTCTTTCAAAACACTCTTCAAAGCATTTTCTGACACACACCCCATAGCAAGTAAAACATCTCAGTAAACATTTTTCACTATGTGGGGATGTGGTTTTGGCCTTAAAGGGCACAGTTGCCGTCTGTAACCTGTTTAAAAGGTGATATGCTTGCAGGGAGGGCTAGAGATTCCAGGTAATTCATCCCAGGGAGAAAGGAGGGTTGTAGAAACAGCTCGTGGACTGTGCGTTCCTCACGTTTGATCTAGTTGAGGTCATGCCACCCACCTACAGTCTGTCATGCATGGTTTCCATTTATATGTGTTAAAAAGACCCACCCCACAACAAAACAAAACACTTTGCCATCATTATCATGCAGCAAGGTTGCTGACTTGCAGAGACTCTAGGATTATGTTTTTCTGAAGTTCTATGGAGAGATGGTACTCTGAAATACAGTACTTATTTTATGTAGAATATAAATGCTTTCATTCTTCAGTGCTTCTAAGAGCAGAGGGTTGGACTTAATGGCCTTATAGGTCCCTTCCTACTTCACTATTCTATAATTGTAAGATATTTACAGAAACAAAAATGAAGCTACAGTATGTCATAGCATGTTTTAAGTGCATGGACAAATTAAAAAGCTTAATTAAAAATTAAAAATTAACCAGGCTCAATAAACAGCATCAACTGTTATAAGATCATCCTGTTACACAAGCCCCTATTATATAATGTGACATATGACTTGCCTGGGCAGTCTTTAAATTTAAAATAAGAGACATCTAGCATCCCTTCTAGTTACATATATCTAGTTACATATATATATATATAAATAGCTCCAAAGCTTTTGTTCTCATCTGCCAAGTCAGCATGTTGTTGCATAATTGAGGACTGTTAATCCCCCACCATCAGATTGGTGCAATTAAAATAATAATGCCATGTAATAAATACTAATCACCAGCTAGCATTTTACAACACATGTTACTGAGGGGTATCAGAGTACACAGTGTATTTCTGCTACAGCTCCCCCCTCCCTCATCTTGTGTTAAGACAAACATTTTGTAGCCACACAGCTTTCAGTACACAAGGTTTTGCATTTAGATTTCATGAACAGAGACGCTGCTGTTGTAGAACTAGTTGCTACCTTTGCAGACAAACCTTGATATTAATTTTTGTGGCATGTTGTGAAATGTAGGAGGGTGTCTGTTCCATTCTGCCCTTTATACCATTGGCAAGGACAAGCCCAAGACATTTTGCTTCTTAAAGTGGTGGAGAAGATGTTGCCTGGGTCTGTTCCAGTTGCGACTGCCAGACAGATGAGCCTTGGTTGTTGTGGATTTTTCGGGCTCTTTGGCCGTGTTCTGAAGGTTGTTCTTCCTAACGTTTCGCCAGTCTCTGTGGCCGGCATCTTCAGAGGACCAGAGACTGGCGAAATGTTAGGAAGAGCAACCTTCAGAACACGGCCAAAGAGCCCGAAAAACCCACAACAACCATTAGATCCCGGCCGTGAAAGCCTATGTGAATATACAGATGAGCCTTGCTTCAGCTTTGATAGCGGGGCAGTGTCCTTGACTACACCTGGATGCAACAGGATAGTTTAGTGTGCTCAGTGCAAACTGTATGGCATACACAACTTTGTCCAGCAACCAATTTATATGTTTCCATGCCCCCCCCATCTGTCACCTGAGATGGCCACTTCACTCTTCCTGTTGGTTGCGCTAGTCCAGCAGTTAGTTTGATTCTGCTATTTAGAACTCCTATCTCTTGTATCACGATACTGTTGGCAAGTTACGAGAACAATGATTTATCCAAGACCTGAGTGTAGAACCCCTTCACAAGGGAAGTTAGTCTAGCTCCATCTCTATTGAGCTTTTGATGGACCTAAAACTATATTAGTCTAAGGGGCCTTTGATTTCTCAGACTGGCTCTTAGAGCTGGCTTTTGGTGGTGGTGGTGAATTAATGTACTTTCAAATGATGTTTTTCATTTTCTATTTTTTTACTATGTTTAATCTATTTAAAATCACTTTGGCAGCTTTATTGTGGTAGAAAAGTGACAACAAAAGTTCTTAAATAAATAATAATAAATTTCAATAACTAAGAATTTGAATGTGGGTTTCCTGTGTCTTAGAATGGACTGACCATTGCCGCAAAATGGCTCACACAGTAATATTGCATCGAATGACACACATTTCTCTGTAGAACATGGATGACTCTCAAAATGTTCCATCCTATATCCATACATGGAAGTGCTTACAAACATAAACCCCTTAAAACCTTTGTATCCCACTGAGTAGAGCTGGACTTCCTCCTGAGCAAACATGCACAGAACTGTATGGCATCCCTACCTCTTGGAATGTGGGACAGAATGAAGCCCCTATCAAAGGTCTATTGTGCTTGAAGTCAGCCCCAGATTGTGCTGTTTCTGTAGTAATGAAAAGGAAAAGTTACATGGCTATATCAGTTCCGTGTCTTGTTAGATTAATGTTTGCTTTTTTCCCCTTTGGTTCAAGGAATCTATTGTGCTTGAAGTAAGCCCCAGATTGTGCTGTTTCTGCAGTAATGAGAAGGAAAAGTTGCATGGCTATATCAGTTCTGTGTCTTGTTAGATTAATGTTTGTTTGCTTTTTTCCCCTTTGGTTCAAGGAGGAAGAGGAAGAAGAGGATGGATGTTTTGGGAGATGTGGCACCCACGCAACTTCCCCTCCCAAAGCATATTTTGGATGTGTGGGTCATTGTCCTGATCATCCTCGCTACTGTCATCGTCATGACATCCCTTCTACTGTGCCCAGCCACAGCAGTGATCATTTATAGAGTCCGGACACACCCTATACAAAGTGGAGCCGTGTGAGACGTGCCGCTGTTTGGGTTTCCTTCGAAGAAAGATGAGCTAAACCAAAGGGTAATGGAAAATGTCTTTGACTGCCTTCGTTGTTAGGCCTATCTCCAAGAAGAGTGCCAGCAAGGACATGGCAGCAAGATAGAGACTGTGCTTTTGAAAGGAAAAGGCTACAGGTCACCTGAAACACGCTGGAAGCCTGGTTCTCCACTCAAACTGCAAGCTTGAAGCTCCAAATGGAAGGCTGTACAGTATAGCCCATTTGTTGAATGAGCTGAATTCATGAACTAGATTAAGTAAACACATGAGGCGGAGGTGCAGTAGCTCTGCTACTTTCCTTGTTCCTCTCCTCATGTGGAAAGCTGTCGTCTGAGGTGGAGAGCCTCCTTGACGGATGGAGGAGGCACTTCTCAGACGGTTGGGCTCCATTTGAGAAGAGCAGCCACAAAGTGGGTGGGGCTATCGTGCTCCTCTCCTTGTATGATTTGTCAATCTTATTTGAGAACAACAGAATATGACTTGAACTGGTACGGGATTCCAGATTGTTCCTGTTTTTTTGTTTCCTGAGATGTTATTTAATCGGAATGTTCTTTGTGTTTACTGAGCAAAGAGTTCCAGAAGGCTACGGAGAGGGCAAAAGAAGATGCCAGAAAAAAAGTGTGGAATGTCCCATAACTGATTCCAGCTGTGGTTGCTGTGCAAGAGAACTCTGCTTCGTTTGTCCCAGACAATTTGTTGCCTTTTCCCCCCTAAGAAATCACTTGGGCCAGGGAGCTTTGGGTGTTCTCAGCTGGAATGTTTCTGTTGTCCTCTCTTTCCTGCAAGGTTCCTCAATTTTTAACTCAAATAACAGACAGCAGCAATGAAATTGGATAATCAATAAAGAAATGAAATTGAAGCACATAAGCAAATGGATGTAATTGCGTTTGCAGTCCACAGCTGTGGAATATTCATTACAACATATATATTGGAATGGTAACAGGAAGATAAAATAGGCTTTGCAACTAGTAGGAATACTTTAGCTGTGTAAAAATCAGGTCTGTTTATTTCTCTGGTGTGACACAATTCTAGTCACATGCTGCTGTTTCACAATGTTGTGCCCACGCTAAAAAGTTTTCCTGCTCATTTGTGGAAGTGCCTGGCATTTCATCTGGCAGCACTGTGTACATAATAACATGCATCAATTGTGTGCCTCAGTTGCTTTCATGCCCTGTATCATTCATCTTCCTTTTTCCGTGGCTACTGCTGGCTTTAGCGCTATAGAAGAAGCATTTACCTGATTTCTATAGCAGCAGCGGGAAATGTTTGGCCCTCCAGACACTCACAGCATTGAGTGCTGACCCAGGCTGGTGGGAGGTGTAGTCCAACAACATCTGGAGACCTGTACCTTCCCCACCAGCATTTGCAGTCTTCCGTTCCATCAGACATAACCTTTGAGTTGCCAGTTCTTGGTCCAAAGAGATCTCCTTGGCTTTTCATATCCATGCAGCAATTGAAATAGCAACAGGTGTTCTAGTTGGTAAGCTCAGGATAGCCTAATTGGGCCAACGAGAACAACCTCTGCCAGATCTCTACCTGTCACCCAGCTACAAAATTTACAAAATGGACTGTCCTTAAAGGTCAGGCGTTAACAGGTGCAGCCCTTCCTTGCTTCGGTGGGACTATTGCTTCTAGTTTCTTTGTTTCCATGCAATGAAGCCCCATGTAGCCTGTGAAAAATACTGTATTTTTCCATGTATAAGATGCCCCCATGTATAAGACGCTCTCCACTCTTCTATCCCAAAATTAAGAAATCTAAGTAGGGCTTAGCAAGTGTAGGGGAAAAGGGACCAAAGCACTTCAGGATTGCTTTGATCCCTGCTTTCTTCCTTCATGCTAAGCCCCACGGGGCTTAGCAAAAGGAGGGGGAAACAGAACATAGCTATCTTGTGACTGCATGATCATTTTGATCCCTTTTCCCCTTATACAGCCATGGGATTGCTTTGAGCCTTTCCCCCTCCTTTTGGTAAGCCCCATGGGACTTAGTAAGCAGAGCGGAAAGCAAGGATCAAAGCCATCCTGCAGCCCTTTGATCCCTGCTTTCCTTTTGCTAAGGCTTAGCAAGTGGGGGGGGGAACAGAGATCAAAGCCCTGCAGGATCACTTTGATTGCTGCTTTCCCCTCCACTTGTTTTTTTTCTCTCCACAGCTTACTTCCGTGTATAAGATGACCCTCAAATTTTAGTCTAAAGATTTTAGACAAAAGTATAGTCTTATACATGGAAAAATATGGTAGTTACCAGTGTTGAAGACAGGAGGAGGAGAAGTGTGTATATGAAAGAGAAGTGGATGCTTTCATAGTGGACCCAATAGCATGCTAAACCGTGATAGTATGCAAACCTCTGTAATAAACTATTATTGCTATTGTTGCTGGTTGTTCTGTGTGCATTTCTAACTGTTGCCTATGTAGGCTTTGAGGATTATTGGGTTAATCCTACTTTTAATCTCTTAAATTCACCTCAATTGTCTTGTTACTTGCAGTGAATCATCAGCTTTCTAATCTTGCCTGATTTTCCACAAGTGAAGCCAAGCTCATGGTGCAATTGAAACCTGTCCTTCGTATTAGTGGAACATGGTGATTCCAATGTGAGAGGTGAAGTAAATCTGGTCTGGGTTTCATGTTGCACTTTGGAGGAGATCTCCAAAGTTCTTCAACCTACTCAAAGGATAGAATTCAGTGCCTTGCGTTGCTTCTGTAAACTGCAGACTAAAATGTAGAGTAGTTTCATGGCCTTTCAAAAATTAGGTTAATCCAATAATTCATATGAATTCAATGCTTCATATGTATATGGTCCCTGTGGCCCAAAAGATGATTAGTACTTTTTTTCAGCTGGCCCCCAATTAATGAGATTTTTTCATGTAGCCACTTCTACGGCTTACTTTTATTTTAAAGGAACCCTAATAACAAACACATTGGCTGTATGTTTTCCTTTGGTGGAGATTAACACAGGATGAGGTTTTGATTATGCATCTGCCTGAACCACATCACTGAGATATGTGCCTTCTGAAGCATTTTTTCATGAGGCCTGGTCTTCACCGTGATGAAGGACGAGCAAACAGAAGGTAGCCTACTGAGTTACAGGATGAGTCAGGCTGTGGTTTCATAAAGTGCTAGTTGTTCCCATTGCTTGCATTCTGGGTTTGTTTGTTTGTTTGTTTAGTAATATTGGTTTGAGTAAGGAAAGAGTAAATAAAGGAATATTTATCAGTGGCAGCCAGTGCCTCTTAGGGGTGATAGGACCAAAGGCACAGCAAACAGTGGTGAGCAGAGCTTGGGCAAAGTGGGCATTCAGACACACACAAGCATGCTTGTGCACAAACACAGAAGCAGGCAGGCAGTGACACAGACACCTGTCTCCGGCAGCCAGAAGGGAGCCAGAGGTGGAGCAGCACCACACTTCCACTACTGGATGTGCTATCATCAAATTAAGAGTGTACAGTAATTTTGAAGACTTTCCTCAGGAGCAGATCATTGTAAATTGATTTCTAAAAACCAATGTGCTGATTCACAAGATTCCACACATGCACACATTATTCCTCATCTGAAAATGTAGCTTCACCAGGTATGTAGTTTCCAAGTAACAATGGGGAGTTAGCCCTACACAAGAAGCACTACAAACATGTTTTCAAGGGCTGGTAAGGAGACAATGGAGGAGTCCTCTTCTGTTCATGATGTGAAAGCTGGGATCCCAATCAGAATAAATGAGAGAGTAGAATTACAGTATAGCTAGAACTTTAAAAGTAGCATTTTTTGGAAAAAAAATGGAGATGAATAATGATCAGTGGCACATGGTTATTGAGAAGAAAAGGGTCTTCTGAGAATAAGAGAATGTCCCTCCTGTTACCATTTCCAGTCTCTGCAGAAGGACTGACAACACTGTTTTCTGGAAAGTGGGGAGAAAACGAAGAAAATTGAAGAGGCAAAGAAGAAAAGGGTAGGAGTACATTTTTGTGCACTAAATGGACAATAGCATGACCAGGTTCCCAGTCACAAAGATCATCTGGGGATAACACTGTTCTCAAATAATTCTAGAATGGCATCCCACAAGCCATTAAGTATGCTAAGCATCCCTTCACAGATGTAGATCAGATGTGTCAATTCTAGAAGGTCTGCTCCTGATCAACAACACTGATGGCTTTCCAAGTCTGTAAAATCATTCACTTAACAACTAAGGGTTGATTCAATTCCTAAAAAAAAAAATACCTTTTTTAAAGAAAGCCTTTGATTTATAATTGTGGGATATTGTGTTTCTGTATCCCTGAATCAGAATGCTAGGAAATGATTCAATCTTGCTGCGTAATATTGTGCCCATGTTGCCAGCAGGAAAAAGAATGCCAAGCTTTACATAACAAAGGGCATCTCCACATCACACAATGGACTTGGGTGTTGGAAGAGAACTTTACAGATAACCACAGATAGCCAGAAAGACAAATCAGTTGGTGCTCATTCAAGTCAACTTGAACTGTCACTAGAGCAGAAATGAGTAAACTGAGGATATCCTACCATTCAAATATAATGAAAATGCAGAACTGACGACAAAAGACAATATTGCTGGGAAAGTGGTGGGGAGCAAATCGGAAAAGAGGAAAACATAACATTACATGGGTTGATTCAATGAAGGAATCCACAGTGGTTAGTTTGCAAGACCTGAGCAGAAATTACTGGAAAAGATCATACTGCTGCTGGAAAGGGGGGGCAGAGTAGGAGGAAAAGAGAACAATCTAACATACAATACTGTTGACTTGCAAGATCTGAGCAGAGCTGTTAATGATAAGACATTTGAGATGTCATTAACTCATATAGGTACCACACGACAGAAGTGAGTTGATGACACATAACATATATGGAGTTTTTTTTTCTCTGCTTACCAGACAATTGTTTAGTAACATGACAACATATATGGAGTTTTTTTTCTCTCCTTACCAGACAATTGTTTAGTAACATGACAGGTGGAATGGTTGAGACTATGACAGGATGTACCATGTTTCCCCGAAAATAAGACAGGATCTTATATTAATTTTTGCTCCAAAAAACACAGTAGGGCTTATTTTCAGGGGATGTTTTTTTTTCATGTACAACAATCTACATTTATTCAAATACAGTCATGTTATCTTCTGGTTGCTGCACAATGATGGAGCGCAGGGTTTCATTTAACTAAGACTTATTTTGGGGGTAGTGCTTATATTATGAACATCCTGAAAAATCATACTAGGGCTTATTTTCAGGTTAAGTCTTATTTTCAGGGAAACAGGGTAGGTACCAGAACTCTACTAACATCAAGTAAGGCCATCCCCAGCAACAAAGTAAAAACACTAATTTCACAGTTTATATTAGTAAGCTTCTCAATATTTGTAATTTATGTCTTTTAACATATTTTTACAACCAGAAATCAAATCTCCTTACCAGCACCAATGCCTGTTCGCTGGGAAGAATATTTGTAATTTATTCTTTATTAAAAATGTCTTTTAACATATTTTTACAACCAGAAATCAAATCTCCTTACCAGCACCAATGCCTGTTCGCTGGGAAGAAGCTAGAAAGCTCTCCGCTTGAGAGTGAGCTAATTGACTCCTAACTGACAGGCTCAAAAGTTCAGATTTCCTGTTTGAAGACTTGTGTCAGGAGCTGGTTCTCAGAAATCCTGACACAATGGTTACTGAAAGCATTCAGGTCTGGGACAAACATAACTGCTCTGTGCTCTGTAAGAATCCTCTGAATATTCTTTACAGAATTGTATGCTAATTCCCTGGAGATACATGGCAAAATGCCCCTTTCTGGAAGACTGTCACTCCATTACTTCACTTAAAGCAAATCTCTTTTTTGACTCTTCAAAAAAAATTTGTATCTCAAGTATTTCTGTGATCTTTCATTACCTTAAAAAATCTCCCTTCCCAACTTAACAAAACTGAAACATTGTATCAACTTCTGAATGTTCTTCTGGTAAGTTTATAAGAAAGTTACAGTTTTACCCTTTTGAAAGGCCATTTTGGATACTCAGTATTTCAGCCCCCTCACTCTGGATGCTTTCCAATTTTTTAAAAAAGGGGATGGGGCCAGTTATTCTCTTTCAAGATAAACAAATTACAAATTTTTGTTTGGGCTGCCTTCATTTTAGAATTCCATTACTGGATGCTGATTTGCTCTGCTACCACAATAACACCATGCACTCTTGTGCAGTGATAATTCACACCTTAAAGATAATGTATCTTTTTTTGCTGTTTCCATATTTTCCCACATGGGACACAATTTCTTGAAAGCTACATGTTTTGCGACTTTGTCTAAGCAATCAGACATGCCAGTGAAGCTTTCTTGATGAATGACCAATCATGAAACAAACTATTTTGTAAGATGTTGAGGTGAGGGAAGCTCATGCTAGGATAGGATCGTCTCATGTCTTTTATGGGAGTCCACTTCTCATAACATGCTAAACTGGGGCTTCTAATTTGACCACAAGACAGTACATTGAATCCAAGCCAGAGGCATCTGTTAACTCATTGACCAGCATGGAACTGAGTGCAAAGTGAATTCACTGATCATGCTTTGTGCGAGTTTGTGGAACATGTTTTAAAAATCTATCAATAACTTTGCAATATTTGTAGCTCTAGTATTTATGCTTAACAGGAACCTTTAACTCTCCACAGCTCTACTGATCAGAGCTATTTGAATAGTTATCACTATTAATATTTCAAATTGCACATTGCAATTTATTGCACCCAGAAGACATTTTTATATTATCTCATTGTTACTAT